TCAAATTACACGATTTTAGATCTTCTGTGAACAAGGCACGAAAAGGAAAAGAACCGGTGACAGGCCACATCAGGCCTACACTTCAGCGCCGAGATCACTATGTTATGTTGTGTGAAGTTCCAACAGAGATTATTTCACTCAACAATAGCACACGCGAAGGTCCAACAGATCTCATTTCACTCAACAGGAGCACATATAAAGGTCCAACAGATCTCATTTCACTCAACAGGAGCACATATGAAGGTCCAACAGATCTCATTTCACTCAACAGGAGCACATGTGAAGGTTCAACAGAACTTATATAACTCGGCTCCATGGAAATTATTTAATTCCAATGTTCTCTTCAAAGGCCAAAAAGTAAAAGAGGTATCACTTCTAAGAGATGTTTTAAAAATATTTGGACAAAGCCGATCGAATATACAGTAAATTCAATGCAAGAGTAGTCGTTGCCCATATCTGTTCTTAACATTTGTAACTATATATACAGCTATATTAGCATTAGATGGCAGAATTTTCTTGTTGGAACGCGTGCGAATAATGAATAGAGAATGCATTATATTCCAATTTACAAGGGATAAAAATTCTTCAGATGACGTCAACAGATCAAAAGACAGGTCTCAGCAAGGATTTATAATATATTTAACGACGTTTCGAACGTATCAACATTCATTTTCAAGTTAATAGAAGCATTGAAGAATGAAATTTTGGTGGGCATAAGTACATACTACACGTAAATAGGATACAATAAGAAAATTTTAGACGAAAAATGACTCTGGAATCTATCGCAAAGTCATGAAAATCTATCGCAATGACTCTGAAATCTATCGGACAATTTCGGTAGTATAAAAATAGATACTGTAGATACTGTAGCTGGGATCGACCAGCCATCGTCGGTTGATTAATACATGGGCACCACTGCGCAATGACGATGCTGTTGGTTTCCTCCAGCACAGTGCGAGCGACGGTCTTGATAGCTTGTCTCAAGGGGTTCCCTCTCCTCCAGACTATAGGTGGCAGGTGAAACGGAGTCAGTGTCGTAGCTGTTAGTCCAATAACTCCAATGAAGTCCAAATTACGAAGTCTACAATCTTATTTGAAGCAAAATTTACAGATCACATCGGCTTCTTGGTGAACTCTCGCTTTTTAGCAGGGTCCATTATTTCGTACAGTCCGGAGCTTGACGCTGTTGTCAAAGGCATCACCAAGCCAGCTGAATTCATCGACAATTTTGAGATGAAGTTGCTTGTTTAAAATAATCAAAATCGTGGTTGTTGGTCCAATTAGTCCAGTGTAATCAAAATTAGGAAGAAGTCTTTGAAGCAAAATTTACAATCTACACCGGCCTCTTGGAGAATTCCATCTTTTTTGCAGGGTCCAGTGTTTCGTATAGTCAGTTGCTTGACGTTGTTGTCAAAGGTATCACCAAGCGAGTTGAATTCATCGATGATTTTGAGATGAAGTATAATTGGAGTATAATGTATTCTCTGGTCATTATTCGTCCGCGTTCCATACAGTTATGCATCTATCTATACAAAATGTATAAGTATATACATATCTATCGCATAGAGGTGAATTAAACGCGCCAATGTGTAATTATATTTATACATTTATCGATACAAAATGTGTAACTATATATATCTCTATCGCATGGAGGTATATTAAAAGCGCCAACTCATGTTCAACTGTGAATCATCAGCCTGTTCGGAACTCCCTCAATATTTACAAAAACGTTCGGGAAGAATTCGTGCACTGACTTAATACTTCAATTTTAAATTTGTGTTTTATAAAAACAAGTTTTTATGGTGACTAATATCAATTTGTGTAGAATATCAAACATAGTAGAAGTTTTACGTATCACACCAATGGCGATTAGTTTGGTTGATGATCGTCAATAAGTTGGTAATGTGGGTATAGCAACTTTAGGCATAAAGCATGCCTTAAATTTTGTTAGTGGATGAACAGTAAATTTGTTTCTCAATGCTAGTTGTAAACTTTAAATTTCTGAATACCACGGAAAGTGTATTTCATTCAAACTTCAACCCATTCTTCAACGTCACTCGTCAAATACATTATTCAACGCTGCAGTAGAAACATAACGCAAGCTAAAATCTTCTGGATTTTTCAAGACTCAAAAATTAAATGAAAGCCACGAAACACAGCCGTGAATTTAAGATAATATTTTCTGAGAGCAGCAGCTTCTGCTTCAATTCCCAGGGATAATTAGCCATTAGCAACACCAACGAATAACGCGATGTCGGATCTAATCTTGAACATGGAACAAAGCTAGCCACAAGCCCCGCAGTAACTTCTTCGTGCAACATGCAATGCATTGCAGATATCTCGCTTAATAACCCGCACAATATCCGCGAGTGGTGATCAGACATGATCAGACAAGCAAAATACTGGTCTGTAAGTATTGTATATTATGGTCAATTATAGGGAACTGAGATGACATATACCCAGTTGAAGAGTAGTCATTTATTTTTGGTATAGAAAATGTTTAGCATGGCCTACACTTGCATTTTGAATTCATAACTGATTTTGTTATAGTACCAATGCAGTAAACTAAATGATATGGAAGTAGAAAGTATCGCATGCATACATTATGCATACACTGAAAATCTTTTATGTTCAACGATATAATGCGGGGAAAAATATCAATACTATATTATCACAGAAATCAGTCTCTGTCCTGCCACTAAACGAAATTGGAACTAAAATGATCTCGAATAACAAATAATGGCATTGCCTGAGTTACTTCTCATTTGCAAAATATTTTATGAAGCCAAAAGTTCACGAGAACAAAGTAAATATTCGTCAGATATTCACATCGTTTTTCTTTATAATGGATGGCATTGGTAAATATGTTCTTTAAAGACCATGGGTTTATATAGATGATCAGTTCAGAGTTTACCCCAATTCATGCAAATTCCATGCACTGCCATCATAGCCTATAGTCTTCATCCTCTAAAGTGTTATGATGCAAATTTAGAAAAATTTGATATCGATATCGAGTCCGTAATGGAAATGAAGTTGTTGAATTACGAAAAGTCATTGCAATGATATTTGAATCAGCAATCGGAATTGGAAAATTCCAGTCAGAGAGTCGCGAACTATTTGGGAATACATGGAAAAATGGCGATCGATTTAGGGCAAATATTTCGCTAGTTGATGTTAAAGTTGCGACATGTCGCAGGAAAATTTACAAATATTTCTCATCTTGCATTCCACGCTCAAGCATACGTTACTCGATGTCTTTCTCGCATGGATGGCCATTTAGCTAAGAGAATATGTATCATTTAATTCAAAACATTTTTTTTTAACTGGAATGAAATTTCAGTTTGGCAGCGAAGAAGACACGCATGCCAAGGTTGCTACACTCTGATTGCGAAATCCTATTTTATTATTTGATTCACGCGCAATGAAATTGTGGCACAGAGCTTAATTTCGAAAAATTATGCAAAAATTATGCAATCAGGAACAAATGTTGGCTTGGTCATTGATTTTATTTTTGTTCTTTCCATCCTTCAAGTAAAATTATCATTGTAGACAGCTTGTGTTGCCCAAGCTGAATTCAAATTTACACTTTAGCTTCGACATAAAAAGACAACTCAACAGAACTTAAGTAGACCCTTTAAAAATTTCCCCGAAGCCCATTGCGTCTGTTCAACCTCAACGCATAAGTTGATTCTCGGAAGCGCTTCAAGCTAATTAAGGATTTGCTTGGCGACTCTCGGCGACAATTCCACAAAGTTTAATTGAACCCATATTTTTGAGAACGATAATTCTAATTATCGTTCTTATTGAATAATTCTTTGTTCAATTGTGCAGCAAATTCTATTAGCATCTGCAGCAGACAAGCACCAGAATTTTCTTGCCATTCTCAGTAAGAATTGATTTTCGATCTCTGCTGTAATTACGCGTGTTGTTTCTGATCCTGAAATTAAACCAAATATTTTCCAACATCTCAGCCTACGCGCAGTCCTGTGAAATTTTGTGAATAATTATTTATATAATTCTATACACTCTTGAATCCGGTTTTCTAATCTATTTCCACGTTTTTCTTTCCTGAGAATATTTATTGATGTGCGGATCGTTGAACAAGTTGCAACATATGAATAATGAACGGCGCACAGTTCGGCGGGAAAGAATGAAAAAACGGCGGAAAAATCTTTCGAAGGTATCTTTTTTTGTATTTTATTGAATATCAGAGTTTTAAGTAAGTTCTAACTGAACGCTTTTATATAATTTCACAACCAATTTATGAGGAATAGGATAAATAAGAAATTCCATGTTTTAAAAATTACTTTAAATAAACGAAAATTACTACATAGGTTACAGATAGCACGAAACTGAAGTAAATGGAACAACTAAGAAACTGGCCAAAATACAATCATAACGAAGACTGATAAATCTGATTAATGTGATGAGCCATTTTTATTAGAACTGCTAAAATAATTTAAGACTGTTTTCAGATGTGAAAAATTGTAAGGGGGGCCCATTACTGATACAACCTGTTGAACAGTGATGCTCTAGGATTGAGTGGATGACACAGAGAAGAGATTAAGAAAGCCACTATATTAAAATAATCATGTCATCATATTAACCGCCATACAATTTGTAACATCCATTCTCTTCATTTAAATTCATCACTAACATTTTAACACGCATTTATTGAATGATTGGATGATGTTGCCGCGTTAAGGTGACGTAAATATGGTGCTGTACTCACCGCCCCTGAGTGACGGGAAGATGTTGCCGCGTTAAGGTGACGTAAATATGGTGCTGTACTCACCACCACTGAGTGACGGGAAGATGTTGCCGCGTTAAGGTGACGTAAGTATGGTGCTGTACTCACCGCCCCTGAGTGTCGGGAAGATGTTGCCGCGTTAAGGTGACGTAAATATGGTGCTGTACTCACTGCCCCTGAGTGACGGGAAGATGTTGCCGCGTTAAGGTGACGTAAATATGGTGCTGTACTCACCGCCCCTGAGTGACGAGAAGATGTTGAAGGCGTCGTCGCGCAGCCAGGACGTGACGGTGACGTAATCTTTGACGTAGGACGGCAGCTCACACGTCAGCACGGCTACGTTGCCGGCCATTACGTGCTGGTCACGTACGCGTGCTTCGTAAGTGACGTCAACCACTATGTTGAGGGAAAATAATAGCGTATTAAAACATTGCGAAAATAGAACCCGAACGAAACGGCGGCTAGATAATATATAATTTTTGGAAACAAAAATATAACGCAAGACGACTTTTTTCTCATGGCCAGAAAGAGAATATTTTAGGCCTAAACTTGACCTGTCCCAATTAAAGTTAAAACTATAGTCGAGCCTCAGGTTTATCGAACAAAATTGTTTTGATAACCTGATACCCGATCTACCATCACCCGCTCATGCCACACAGATCGAGCGTCCCTAACAAGATTCAGAGCTGAGGGCGGCTCTGGATTAAGGACCTCCTTGGACTCGGGGAGCATAGTCCTCAAGCTCCTATATGTCCGCTTTTCGGTCTAAATTCCGGTCCCAGAATCAGACAGCTACAAGCGCCTGGTACTTATTCTGCCAACTCTTCCCCTACTCACAGGAGACAATAAAGTCGGCAAGGAGGTTCTGATTAGTCGCTGATGGCAACTGATGGCCAACTGACCCAGATTAACTCTTACGCAAACATAGCAACTCTGGGGCGGAAGCTGAAGCATACCCCGAATTTTGTTAAGGATGACTCACCAGCTCTGACGCGGACTGGAAGAGAGAGCAAAGCCCCGTTTGAAAATCTGCTGATGCAGGAATACGATGCTGAATGTAGAGTGGAGCTGTAGGAGTGGCTGCTGAATGGGCGAAACACAAGACTTCCGTTATTGTGTACTGCCACGAGACCCGGTACCTTTGAAAACAGGAAAATTATTGATAAGAATTTGTTTAATCGGCAATTTAAAATCAGGTTTAAATACGCCATGCTTATCAAAATATTTTCATTTCTTCACAGTTAACTCGGAGAAAATCTGTCGCAAGAAGAAAAAAGTAAATCATCACCATCAATTATTCTTCAAGCATAAGCATAAACATAGAAAAACTATTGGTTGTCTATTAGAGAAAAACAAACTGAAAAAAATTAAAAATAAATGAAAAAATAAATTTTTGCACTACGTAGATTATGTTAGAAAAACCAGGCGAGTTGCACGTAGGTAAATTCAGAATTATAATAATTGAACCAAACTTACGTCGTCAACAGGCAGAAGATTTTCACCACGCCATGAGACTACGGCAGGAGGCTCAACGTTGCCCACTTTACAATCGATGTGTCCACCGGACGAGTTACTGAAGACAAAGCGACGTGGCGGTTCAAACAGCCACACCGGTCCGTCGTGTGATGCGGGCCTGTAGGGGCGTTCATCAAAATCATTTGCATCAGTGTAACTTGATCCAACCAAGTCATTCCTGCCTGATGTGGCGTCCATAAACATTTCATTTCGGGTCAGAAATTCTGAAGAAAATTGCCGGTTTTGAGTGTAAGTGCTTGAAAGCAAACCGACTGAATGCGCCGGGGCGTCGTTTGAACTTATGGCGTCAATTAAAGTATCTCGTGGGAAATTTTTGTATGAGTTAGTGGATCTCGATGTCCGAAGTTTCATACGATTGTGCTGGAGTCCCAGAGTTTTATATACTTTTGGAAAAAGAAGCAGCGGCTTTAACGGATCGCCAGCCCAGTCACGGTTCGTCAAGATGCTCGAGTTGGGCTCAAGGGTTCTGTCATGTCCTGTGGGTTCACCGCGGCCCGGTGTCGAACCCTCAAGCCGGCCCGAAGTGAACCGGTTCACAGGGTCCAATGTTTCATCAAGATTGTTGTGAAGCGTGGCTCTGTAGTGTGACCAGTCACATCCACAGAGTGACCATGGCCTTACGACTGTGTCACAAGGATACCCTGAAAATTTAATTGCATATAGAGTCAAAACATACAAATAGCGGTGAATTCCAAACAATATCAGTGATGGGTAGAGCACGACAGCCTTAGTTATAATGGATCCGAAGATTGATACATAAATTTTGAAAAATTTGGGATAATCATGAGGATTACATCAACTAAGATTGAGGTTGACAAACTTTAATCAATCCCATTTCGGTTGGAATAAGAGAGTAAAACATCACTTAAGACGAAGTGCTCTTGGCATGGCCCGCACCAGAAAGAGTATAAGGAGTCTCTAATTTTTCTTAGCACCGCAAGTTTAGACGTGCTTACAACCCGAGCCTGAATAATGCAGCAGGTGATAGACTCTTATGCCGGCGAAGCGAGCGGCTCTAAATGACACTACATAAAATACGGTCATGAAGAAACACTTAGTGACATACTCTAAAACGAAACAGTTCTAGAAGGTAGTCGCGTGATAACAGTTGGTTTGCATTATGCCTCGTAATTCACGAAGTTTCGGCAAATAAAATTTAGTTACGAATGTTGTGAATTGCGGTACAAAAAATTATTTATATTCTAAAAGAAGTTATGATGGAAACCTGCAATTACTCTTTTTGCAGTTCGCCTTGAATAAAAAATAATCGCCCATGAAACTCAAAGTAAATTGACAGGAAAAATTTTAAAAATATTTTAAGAAGATTTCTGAGAAGCAAACATTTTACATCGTCCGCGCTTCGAGCTGGATTGTAATATTAATGTGACCAAAAACGCCCTAAGCAATAATAGTTAGGTCGACAAAACTCCCGTTAAATTATGACTGAGGAATGTGAGATATTTTTTTAAATCTCATGAGACTTCTCAAATTCATCCATGACCCCTATGAATAGGATGTGTGGCAAAACCAGGTGTAATTTTGAAACCTATAAGCCGATCACGCATTCATTACACTTCATGCAAAGGCGAATAGCTCAATTATTGTATCACTTAAAAGTTGCATTTCGCATTTTAGCCTTCTGATAAAGAAATGAAGTGTTGAAATTGAATATAGATGTTTTCATCGTTTAAACAACAAGGCATTCCTATTTTTTTCAAAAATGATCTTTGATCTCATAAATACATTGCATAAATCTGAGCGTGTTGAATTGCAGTTTGTATTTGACTTGTTTTCAATGAATTTTTAATTCGTTGACCGATGAAATAGCAAGACTGAAGCTTGCTCTGAATATTTTAAAGACAATTTACAATTCACAGTACCGCTGTTACGATGAAGGGCCGGAATTAAGAGAAACTAAGCCCCACATTTAGAAATTGGCAATGTCTCTGACTTAAAATATTCTTTGCATAAAGAGTGGCATACAATCGCTGATCTCGTATAATAATTTGAATATTTTATTCTTTTCAATAGATCTCATAGCATCCCAATTCGAGAATCCGGTAAGGATCCAATCACAAAAAAAGAACCTCATGGAAATGAGCTCAGCTATCATCACAAGAGTTGCAGATGACAGGGAAGAAAATTGGTTTGGCTCATTAAGGAAAGGCTGACGACTAAACAACATGAAAAAAATGACAACAGAAACACAGGAAGAAGCAGCTGATAACTGCCTTCATTGAAACTTGAAATTGCAACCAGGCATTGAGTGTGTCATAGTGGGAGGGAGGGAGGGAGAAGCTCCAAAGCTCGATTAAGAAATGTGTCTTAACTTTGGCGCAATATTTTTACTTAAAGTAATCAGTAATTTAAATAATTGTTGAATATGGCTGGAAACTATCAGGAAACATTTAAAGAACCACCCAATATGGCCTTTCACAAAACATTATGTAGCTTTAATTTACCGTCACAGGTCTCGAAAAAAAATCTTTACTTACTTGATCGAAATCTTCTTCATTTACAAAAATTTATCACCTGGAAATTCAACATTGAATCAAACGCTGCAGAATCAACTAACCTGCATGACGAGCAGTTCTGAGATGCGATGCCTGCGTTAAATTCTGCAGATCGTGCGACGATGACTCGGAAAATGTCTTTGATTCAGAAGACAAACGTGATGATGGCAGCGTAGCTGACGATGCTGGCGAACGTGGTAATTGTGACGATATAGGCTCACGTGATACTGGTAACGATGCAGGCAAGCGTGACGACGATAACGAAACCGGTGACTTTGCCAAACCAGACGATGCTGGCGATTCAGGCGACGATATTTCCAGCCGAGATGATGACAACGTTGTCGATGAATTTATCAGTAGAAAAAAGCTCATCATGGTAATGGAGCTCAATGAAATGCGACTGAAAGTCCACATGGTTGTTCACAATTTTCAATTAGCTAATAGAGTCTTGTTATGTGTGATTAGACTCTAAATTCACTAATATCAATTAATTCAATTTTGAATAACTCGTGAATAATACAATTTATAGACTTGAATTTTCACTTGCAAAGCAAGATCATAGCACTTTTTGTGCCACAAAAAAGTTTCAGATAACTCTTTCTGATAAACAATCTGCAAATAAGAGAACTGCAAGGGTTGAACTGATAAAATAATTTGCAATGATGGAAGCCTCAGTAATAAGCCAAAAATCATTCCTAATAGTTTAGGCTGAATACGTTATTAAGCTCCAAGGAACCGCTTTGAAAAGGAAAACGTTGTATGCAACGAAATAGCATTCTTCAACACACAAATTGTCCGCGCACTGCAGTGAAATAATTCAGACACAGTGAACGTAAGACTGAAAAAATCACTTCTTTCCATCCACTTTATAAAATCCGTAACCTAAGAAATTTTTTTGTTAACTTATTAGAGAAATATGTATAACTATCAAAACATATCGAATGTTCCGAGGCAAAATGCTTGCATTCTTTCAAGACTACAGAAATGTTTTTTGCCAATTTATTAATATAACTGCAAGCACTTAAACTGAAGCCATTGTTGAATTTTTGAAGGTTTTCTACATTATAAGTGTTTTGAAGAAATTCATGTCACTTTCAAGTTGAAATTCAAGTTGAAATTTTCACATGTGCCAAATATTATATAGCTGCCGACAACTAACTTCTTATAATAACGCAATTAGTGAAACACAATAATGGCTTTGGCAAATCACGAAGTCATGATTAAGGGCTGTGCTTCTGCACTGAAACACAAATTCAAATCAAAACAAATAAAACACAAAAAATATATTGTTTTGATATCTTGGTGGCAATACCCCACAGATTCTTGTAGGAAACAAAAACCAAAAAGAGATTTTCGTTAAATCGTGTTCCTGGTCACTCAGTTGCACTTCAGCTACAACAGTGTCCTCAAGTGACGACCAGAGACGCTCCACTGTTGACATCCACTCATTACATCGGCGACGAGGCGACTGACATGGCCATGCTCTCACATGCAGCCTCAGTTTGTTCTCACCGTTTAAAAGCAAAAGGGAAGAAAAACGGGCGTCAATATAAGTGTGGGCTATGGTCGACCATTAAACAGAATGATGAGTAAATTTCATGCACTTTTGGAATAATAATTAAATTGGAAAACGTATTTAGTCCACATTCAGGGATATAATTAAAAGAAATCTGGAGCATCGTGTTCCTATTCTTTAAAAAAATGAATTCAGGTGCGCAAAGTGCTGTAATTTGTTTTCATTTCGAATTCAGCGAAAGTGCTCGGCTGTGGCGTCGAGGGAAGATGACAGGAAAGTTCAACAAGGATGCCGATCCGAAATTAGAAAATTTAATCGTGTAAATATGTAATCGCGTTTTAATTCTTAAATTCGTAATATACAGTATAACAATAATAGTTAGAGAGGGCGTAGTAGAAGAAAAGTGAAGTTAATGCCTAATGAAGTATTGAAAATATGGTTTTATGTAACATAGGTAAAATTCAAGATTGAAAACCGACATGTTAGTCAAGTCTTCCATATTCCCTGTAAAAAAATATTTGGTTAGTGTAAATGATGCAGGACTGAAGTAAAGAACAGAGATTAGAAATTGATAAATGAACGTTGTTCAGACAATCAGTCCAGTCAGAAAAATTCTCAAGTCACGAGTGAAGAATTATTTATAATAAAATTGTAATCTAAATAGAAGTAGAATGCATGGCAGTGACTGGAAAGTTTAGCAAATATTTGATCTCATCCCGCGGATTTAGGCGTTAAATAATTAATACCTAAATCTGCGAGAATGAACGAGTCTTTGATTTTACAACTGGCAAATACGTCAACTTATATTCAATGGGAACACGAAGTTAATACAAAAAAGAAACAAATGTTTGGGAGAGGAGAAAATAATAATGGCCGTTGTAACCTATGATGAAAGTTTCCTTACCATTTTAGGTGTGTGAGAAAAGTTATGTTGGCAACATTCTCGTGCGCAACTATGCTTAAGCAGCATGAGTGGCACAATACCATGCTTGCCATAACTCAAATATAAAATTAAATTCATGCATTCATGGCTCAATAAATTCATACTAACTTGTGAGGAGGTTGAGTTGAAGTTAATAATGAGTGGGCTGCAGCAAAAATTTATAAAAGAACTTATTTTAAAATTTTGACCGCTGATCGCCTTGATTAAATCC